TATTGACTATTGTATTCATATTATTTTGTTAGTAATTATTATTTATTACAAAATACAATATTAGGCTTATATAATTCCAAGCATATGAATTTTAGATTCTGAGCGGAGCGATGAATGTATTGGTTTTACAATGATGTGTGTTTTTATATTTTTATATTTTTATATTTTTATATTTTTATATTTTTGTGTCTGTCATCACGTTTTGGGACAGTAAAAGTGCTTCGATTTTCTTCAATAGTACCTTTTCTGATAGGAAAGTGAATCTAGTTGGTACTTTGGGGGGTCAAAAGTAAACATTTCCCAGTAGTTTTCACAAGCGCCGGGAAAAACAACATAAAAATTAAGGAAAAACGGGAATTTTTACGCAAAATCGATTTCCCAAAAAATCGAATTTGGTTTTTGGTGTAACTCTAAAACAAATGAACGTATATACATGGAATTTTCACTGGTTGTTTATATTTGCATTTTCTATACACGATAACATTTTCAAAATATTTTGATTTATTTTGAACTGTTTAGGGACATTTTCATTTTTCATTTTTTTTTAGTTTTTTTTCTAGAAATATCAATAAAATTTTATTTGTTGGTTGCGAAAGCTTGAAAATTTAATAGAAGGCTCCTAATATGTTGTTTTAAAGGCAGATGAAAAATATTAAAAATCCTTAGTCACAATTTTTTTTATAAGCATTTACAGTTCAAAAATTTACAAAATATGGAAAAATCACGAAAATTAGCAAATTATTTTGAGTTAAGAATTCGTAAAAATTTTTCTTTTTAAATCTAAGATTTGAAAATGAAACACAAGATTCCTTATAAGATTATCTACCTTTATCAATAAAAAAATCTCTACCGGACAGTCAAGTTAAATTTTTATGAGCGTTTGAAATTCAAATTTTTACAACATTGGATATTCACTCGATTACTCATGTAGCGATTTCCTTATTTTGTTGCAATTCAAAAACGAACAACTGTAGATACATGAAAATTTCACTCAATGTTTAAATTAGCATTTTCTATACACCATACAATTTTGAAAATATTTTGACTCTTTTTGAGATGTTTATGGACATTTACAGCTTTCAATTTTTTTTAGTTTTTTTTTCTATAAATATCAATAAAGTTTTATCTGTTGGGCCAAAAAGTGTAAAAATGTAATACAAGGCTCCTGATATATTGTTACAATAGCAGTTGAAAAATATTAAAAATACATAGGCACAGTTTTTTTTTATAAGCATTTAAAGATCAAATTTTGACAAAATTTATCAAAATCTCGAAAATTATCAATCATTGTAATTAATAAATTATAAAATGTTCAGTTTTTATAGCTAAGGATTGCAAATTCAACACAAAGGTTCTCGTAAATAGTTCATACTGTAACCAAAAAATCTAAAATATATATGAACACACTTATTTTTTACAGACATTTTAAATTCAAATTTGGACGAAATTACATATTAAAAAACCTAGAATAACTATTTTAGTTATTTTGTTGTGATTGAATAATATTATTCGTGGGTACTTGAAACTTCTAAAGTGTACTATTATATATCTATGATAGTATCACGGTTTTTGTTGATGTATAACGTGTTATAAGTATCTAATGGATATTGTGATATGATTAATTTGGAATTTATTATAGGTACCTATTATAGGTCAATTTTTTGTTTAATACCATAGATATGTATATAATATGTCTTATACATAGACTGACATACCGTCACAGCTCAGAATCGTTTTTCTTATACAATGATATTATATCATTGAATTCAAATTTAATACCATCCATTATACAGTGACCCACTTGTAACCTACTGTACAGCAGAGCGACACCCACTTGCCCACCTTTTTTTCTATCATTTTATACTATTTTATTTTTTTTTTAATATATTGTAATCGTGTATATATAGTATATATTAAACTATAAGGGCAACTGGTACATTTGGTTGATCCGGTTGAGGGCACTGGGCAACTGGTAAATTTTTAAAATTCCGATAACAGCCATGGGGGGCAACTGGGCAACCCGTATATTAGTATATTATTCTTAAAAACTTAATTTATGTATTATACATTTTATTGTGTATAAAATGTATTGAGAAATGTAAAAGTTAAAATAACTTACTGTATAATGATAAAAAAAAGTCTTGTGGGTCCAATAGCTGTTGATCGACTAAAATAGTAACATTTTGTTATAGAATTCACGGTGATCAATTAGTTTGAAAAGTTTCTATTAGCACATTGGAATATTATAAAATCGTTTAAAAATGCAATGTCAATTAACTAAAAAAATTTTATATAATTTAGTTTAATAACAAAAACAAATAAAAATTTCAACCCGTATTTATTAATTTTTATTTCTCAAAGTTTGCATTTGCGATTTTATGAAAAATTATTTAATATAGCCTATAGGTACTAGGTAGGTGCCATAAAAATCTTAAAATTTACTTTTTTTAAAATTTTCATCTGCGTTCATACCTATTTAATTTATGTTATAAGATGCTAGATGGCGGTGATTATTATAGAAAATAATGTTTTTCGAAAATATTTGAATAAGCAAAATTTATGAAAAACAATAAGTCTAAGATTTTGCTTAAAAACTTAATTTATAATTAGTCAAACAATTCCAATAACATGCATGATTTGTGAAAATTTGGAATTAAAATGTGTTTACTTGTATTCACTTTTTTATTTTATTATAGGATAGGTACTCTAAAATATTATGTAATTAATATTATCTTAAGAGAAACATCAAAAAATGTTATTAATAGATTAAAGCTAGATGATCAAGATATAATATAAGTTACTTGGAAAAACTAACATTGATGATATCCAGTATAGAGAAAGTATTCACCATCCAAGTCATATTCAGGGACAGTAAATGATTGTGATTCTAAAAAAAAAAATATCAAACACAAATTATTCTTATTAGTTATTACTAATCAATCATAATAATAAAATGTAATAGTTATTATTACTATAGTTTATTAACTTATTAATAAGATGCATAATATGATATTTTAATTTTATTAAAAAGCAAAGCTGGGCAGTAACTAGTTAGAAAGTTAAAAGTTAAGTTAAAAGTTACTTTTTTTGATAACTTTTAACTTAACTAGTTAAAAAAAAAATAGAATGTAGAAAATAACTTAGTTAGTAACTAAGTTATTTCTTGTTATAAATAATTGTAACTTAACTTAGTTATTTTGTTAAAATGAAAGTTATTTGTAAAAAGTTATTTACAAAAATGTTTCTATTATGATTTATGAACTGTTTATTATTTGCATCGATATTTCTGAGAGCCGCCGGGACGGAGATGGTATGTATATTATTTTATTTATACGATATTACACGAAAAACCTAAGCCCCCAGTATTCTAAAAATAATCAAAATATTATTCATCAATGTATGTGTCCGCCGCGCCGGTCCGCGTCGTCGCGTCAAACATAAGGTAAACTGTTAACGATTATTAGTAATGGCGAATCTGTAGTCTATTGTCTATACAGTGGACTGTAGTGTATCCCAATCCCACTGGAGTACTGGACGACGTTTGTTCAGCCGTCAGCAATATAATGAATATTAAGGAGAAATTAAGTAAATTTTTATTCGTCTCTAATTTTAATAAAGTAAGTACCTATAGTACCTACCTCTAATATCATCAAGGCCGGATTAAGAACCTATTGGGCCCCGGGCTTGAAAATTCATATGGGCCCTTTTGACAAGGCACGCTTTAAAACAAACTGGCTACGCCCGCAGGAAGATACATTTTTCTAACTATTTCACAAATGGCAATTGCATTATAAAATTATAAAATGAATAGGTAAGTTCGTAAGTATATGTAATTTATATGTCTATAAAGTATTAAAGTATACAACCACTATTCACTAATTGTAATATAATAAAAGTAAAGACGGCAGAAGCTGATATGTACATTTTACAAACTTAGTTTTGCCGCTACATTATATTTTCAAACACCTAATGACTTATCAGTTTTGGTCTTTGAATATAAATGACACCACACACATAATATAGACATATCATATTAAGTATGATAGAAGAAAATTATTTAAAAAAAATGAAATATACGATTTCTAAACTATTTAAATGATATAATTGAAAAATGAACAAAATGTACATATCAGCTCCTGCTATCATTCCACAGAGTTAATACTTCATATTTCATTAATTTAATTTCAAATTTTCATACCAACTTTTAAATTTATTAACATTATACTTATTTACAACAAATATTAACTAACAGTTATTAAATAACAGTAAAATGCGCCTTTCCTACAAAAAGGTATTTACTATTTAGTTGTTTTTGTCGATAAAAAAAAATGGTTTTTAAAATATAGGAAAACTATTCTTTAAAATCACTGAAAAATGTGTATCAGCTTAAAATTGTTTGGGCCCCTTTCATTTTGGTACTTGAAAGGGCCCCGGGGCTTCCGCCCCGGCTAGACCCCCCCTTAATCCGGCCTTGAATATCATTAACGTTTATTAATCATAAGCAGTGATTGGACTTGAATGTAGGTAGTGTAAAAAGTGTATTTATTATATATCACGACTTTTGCAATCAACGTCATTGGACTTAGCAAATGCTTCTTCATCAATAGATGGGGTAAAAGAAATTTTAGAGGAAAAACGTAAAAATTGTGTTTCTGAATTTAAAGCAATTTTTTCAAATGAAAGTGACTTAGCTACAGTTATTGGATTTGACTTAAGAATGCCTAGAAGAGTTGGGAAACAAATAAATCGTAGCAATTATCAAGCGAAAGATACTGAACAATATTATTTGCAAAGTATTTACATACCACTATTGGACACTGTGAAAACAGATATGACTTTAAGATTATCAACCAGTACTTTAGAAGCTTTCAATTTACGTTTATTAATTCCTAAAACAATTGTAGTGTTAACTGACAAAGATTCCTGCGAGAAAAAAAATATAATAAAAGAATTTTAAACGTAGCAACTAAATTTTCATATTAAATGCAGAAGTTAAATTGATGACTCCTGATTTATTAGAAGGTATCTACTTAATAACAAATAACCAAACATAATACCTATGCTTTTTTAAAAATTTTTTTTATCTCTAGGTGAAGTTATGTTATGGATCCATAAATGGAAGAAATGTACCCCAGACCAACGACCGATTACAGCATTAGATGCCTTAACAAAATGTGATAATGAAATATTTCCTACTATAAGATTGTATTTGCAAATATTAGCAACACTCCCAGTCAGTGTTGCATCGGCTGAGAGAAGTTTTTCGACTCTACGCAGAGTTAAAACTTGGCTTCGATCAAGGATGGACGAGCTTATGCTTGCTAAACGTACATCAAAATATTAATATGTATGATAAAGTGGACGAAATAATAGAATTATTTGCAAAACAAAAAAAAAGAAGGCTGGAGTTTGTTGTATAAAATATTTTATTAAATAAAACCAAATCTAATGTGTAAATACAAGACATTATTTATTGACAAACTTACAGGTTCCAGGTTAGAATATTCTCTAAGTCCCTTTTGCAATTTAGTGATAGCTGAAAAAAATGCCCCCCCCCCTTGTAAGTCTCTGAAGCCGCGCCTGCTGAATGTTATCGTTAATATTATTTCACCTAATGTTAGAATAATCCAGGGGTTGGCGTTCTAGAACGCATAGAATGGATAAAAGATACCTATCTTGGTTCTGTATCGCAATAACATATTTTATAGTATTAGGTCGTAGAATCGTAGATCTTTATTGGTTAAATACCTAACAAATACATTTTAAATATTCACAAATAACGCGAACGATTTTATTTTAAAATCATATTTTTTTCAAACAAGCATACATCAACACCTATCATACATAAATCATACACATTATACCTATAGTTATTAAATAATCGCAACAAAAGAATTATAAAATTTGTATGCTAATTCGTGTTTCGGTAAGGGGTATAGGTATATTATAGGTACATATAGATAGGTACCGGTACCTACGTAGTTTTTTGAGAATTTTTAAAATTAGATACTCAGTTTTATCGATCAGCTGTCTACGATATTTTTCAATATCGGTAAATCATATATTTGCATGGACAAATTAAAGTTATATACCTATATAGTTACATCTATTAAAACTTTTGCAGATATTAGTATAAATATGAATTTTAATAACATTTTTTTTAACCTAATAATTACGTAATATATAAAACTCAGATTTAAGTAATTTAATCCCAAAACTACGAGATTTAACTGCAATGCATCCAAGGCTCAATGTGTTGAAAAATTTCAGACAAAACTTTGGGGTCTGGACTCGAATTAGTACGTCACTAGTACCCCCGACCGGATGAATAACACAGTGAAGCACTAACGAAGATAAACGAATAAAAGATTTTTGGACCCTAAATTCGAATTCTAAATTATCATGTCCTTAGCAACCCCCTGTAGGAAATTCAAATACAATTTTAAGGGATGGAGCATTTACGACGGGATGAGAAGCACTAACGAATACAATTTGTTTGGACCCAAAATTCTAAATGGGGGGTGCAGGCATGTCCCCAGCACCCCCTTTACGAAATGCGAATAACTTTGGAACGGATAAAGCACTAACGTGCACCAACGAAGCACAAACGATCGCCCCGGGTTTGGCCCCCAAAAATCGCAATGGGGGGTGCCGGGGATATGGAAATGAGTTCCACTGGCAATATTTAATTTGCCATAGACAACGCCATGCAGGAACTAGCCGGGTTCACATTACATCGTGTAGTGTAAAATATTTGACTTGGGTAAAATACTTTTAAAAAGTATTGGGAATAAATATTCGAATTCAAATACTTCATAAAAAAAATAGTATTCCGAATAAAGTATTTTAAATACTACAAAAGTATTCATTTTAAAACGTGTATAATATTGTAAAAATGTCCAGAAAAACAAGAAAACAATTATTATTATTGTAAATAATAAGTATTTTTTTATAGGAATAAAATACTTTTAAAAAATATTCAAAATAATTATTCAGAATATTGTTGGAAAAAGTATTATAAAATATTTCGAATACTTTATACTGTAGTCTGTATTTGGAATACTTTATTCCGAATACTACCCAAGACTAGGTACAATATTCATATCATTGGTATTGTATTTTGGTATAAATAATAATCATTAAAAACACGACACGATTTTGTGTGGACTTGGCTTTATAATAAATTTATATTTATAATGAATAATATTTTTGAATTACTACAAAGTAACTTAAACAGTCCTTCTTAGATTAAATATCTTATTTTGTCTAAATTATTAAAAAAAAAAACTGAGAATTTTAAAAGTAAAAATAATTTCACTTTCCTACCAGAAAAGATATTGAAGTTGACAGACAAATAGAAAAAAACATACATTATTGTAAAACTAAGTATACATTCATCGCTGCCCATCTAACTTCATAGTGATATTATTATATGTAAAATTAGTCATAATAAGATAATAATATTAGAGAATATTGTAAATCAAATAAAATTCGTTACCTATAATCCTCCTAATCACAAGATAATTTCTGGCTGTATTGGAAACCATAACGTTATTTATCATAAAAATTATAAAAATAATAATTACATTGGAGAAGCAATAAATTGAAATCATCGTTCTATTCCAAAATAGATCATCAGTGTAAGAACAATATTATGATAGTAAATTGTATCAACTTATTGTAAGCCGGTTATGATATATTTTGTTATGTTATAAAAACAAGCACAGCTGAGTAAATTATAAAAGCCTTGAAGCCTACCACGAAATTTGTTTTTTTGATACCAGCGACACAGCAAGTAGCAAACAAAACGAATGGTGTGAATAATTGATACCTATACCAGTGGCGTACGCAGAATTCGTTAATGGGGGGGGGGGGGTACCATATTTTATGTACAATTAAAAAAAAAAAAAAAATGTTTATACAATTGTATTCTTCTTATATTTATAGACATGCGCAATACAATTTTTTAAAAATGTATATTTTATAGACTAAAAACACTAACCTATTAAGTTATAACTTAATATTAATTCGTCTCGATGATTTTAATAATTCATCTAGTACTGCGTCTGTTGAGATTTCAATATCCCGATGAATATTTGGCATTGCTAATCCATTTAAGCGAGATTCTCCGGTTGTATTTCGCAGATAGGTTTTGAGACGACGAAGAGTCGAAAAAGTCCTTTCCGGTGTGGCTGTCGTTACTGGTAGAGTAACAAGAATAACTAAAAGTTTTCGTATAATTGGAAATATTTTTTCATCACATACAAGTAAAGCTGAATGGGCATTTTTAAGATTGTCATTCATTTGGCTTACATAATTCCACCATAATCTAAGTTCTCCGATACTTAGTTGTTCACTGCAGTTAACGATTTTTTCATAACGACGTACTAAATGTACAATGTCAGTCTCAAATTGTTTTTTGAACTCTAAATTATTTATTTTTGATGGCAAGAGACAGTGAAAACTTGACAAAATTTGTTTATGATCTAACAAACGTCTTTGAATTTGGGTAATAAAAATATCTAAAAATGGAATGAATATTGAAACACGAAAATATACTTCAGGTGAATCTGTTTCAATATTATTTTTTAATATTTTTATAATATTTATTATTATGTCAAATCGCATGATTCGAAGTAGATAGCAACGATATTACGATTACAAAATATTATCTATTATACACATTACACGCACACGTATATCTGTGTATGAACTTAGTACTTTGCTCATAAGTCATAAACAACCATGACCCATGTAATAAAATGTAACATGGAATGACAGTAATTATTTTTCGACAAAAATATTAACGCGTTATCGGGGCCAGACTAGACCGATATACGGAACCTTTTAAAACCACCGGGAAGTGACCGACCGACAAAACGCATAATATGATCCTAGTCTAAATATAATATTCCATAAAAAAAAATCATTATTCGTATTTTACTTGGGGGGGGGGTTAAACCCCCCCCCCCCGTCGGTACACCACTGACCTATACGTTTACCACGACACACAATGTGCACTACGAATGTACAAGTGTGCACTACAAATGTACAAGTGTGCACTACGATTTGAACGTGTGTACACTACGGTCTACAAAACAAAAATTAAATAATACACCAGCTACTAGGAAATATGAGTATTTCCTGATTATTTTTAAATTTAAATTATATTAAATTATAATTATTTGTATCAATTTTCAAACATTGTTATCTGTTAAAATATTTTTTGTTGATAATAAAATAAATTATAACGCTAGTAATGCTAAAAGGAAAATATCCTCCCGAACTCCGCCTGTTGTATAACATTAATTCGTGTTCAACCCGCCACACCATCCAACCTTATCGTGTCCAGTCCTGTATATTATCTTAGTCCGTGGCTATAACCATAGACCTCAAACTTAAGTATAAGCACGTTTAGCGTTTAGTATAAAAAAAAAGCTTGCCCAGTCAAGGGTCAGCTTTCTTGATTTTTAATTTTTAGAAATTTATTAACTGATATCTCACCCAAGCGGTATAACAATTTGAACCCAGAAAAATGTCGGTGTGAACAGCCCCACAAAAAATCATTTCCATTTTCATTTAGTGAGATAGATCTCCGAAACCGGAGAGCGGATTCATTGTTTGGGGTCTTGTTAGATTCACATTGGTTAGGAGAAGTGCAGTGAAGATTTGCAGAACTTTATCTTTAATAGTTAATTCACTATAGAACATTACAAAAAATTAAAACAAATTTTATTGGACATTTTTTGATGTTTTTCATCTTTACAGCTTTGTAGTGAATTAACGATTGGAGATAAAGTTCTGAAAATCTTCTCTGCACTTCTCCTAGCCAATGTGAATCTAACAAGACCCCAAACAACAAAATCCATTCTCCAGTTTCGGAGATCTACCTCGCTAAATGAAAATCTAGAGAAAATAACTCTTTTTTTTTTTTTTTTTGTGAAAAATTAAATGATTTAAAAAAAAAATTTAATTCCATATTTAGTGTCTACTTGATAATCCCTTTTTAATGAGTTATCAACCAACTTTCTAGCTAGGTATCATAGTTTAGGAGAAAAGTTAAAAAATAGAAATGTTGGGACTGTTCACGCCAACGTTTTTGTGGATTCAAGTGGTTATACCGCTTGGGTGTGATATCAAATCTCTCTCATTAATATTTTATATTAAAGCTATCTAAATTACCCACCTATTCATAATTTATTACAGAGTTGCATTTTTATTATTTTCCTATTTAACACAAATTCTTGAAGTTTTCAAAATTCAGACTTTTTTCATTTCAATTACCATACTTCCTTAATTAAAAATCAATAAAGTAATATGCATTGTTATGATTATAATTATTAA